AAATGCATTTTGATGTTTTAATATTTAGGATCGTCTGGCTGTAACAAAAATTTGTTTGTTTGAGCAGGCATACCTCTTGAAGTCCAGCCTACCTCACAGGGATGTGCTGGGGAAAATAGGAAGAGGGAGTTGTGAAGATCACCACAAACTCCTGAATGAAAAGCAGGATCGAAACCTAACTATCAATCAGGGGTCACTGGTATCTCAGTTCATCTTCCAGGGAAGATTCCCAGCAGCAAAAAATGTGGTTGTTTTTTAATTATTATTATTACTTTTGCAGGAGGTGGAACAGAAACTGTTGCTCGGGAACTTCCAGATGGCTCCTACAGCCTGCACGGTTTCAAATGGTTCACATCAGCTGCTGATTCAGATATGGCGCTGACCCTGGCAAGGATCGTGGGGCCTGATGGGCAGATAAAACAGGTCGGATTCCCAGGCCAGCCCAAAGAATATGAAACAGTAGCTTGCAAGTAGTTGTGCAGTTAGTAATGTCCGAATTCCAGCTGCATTTATTTCATTCCTCCCGGACGAGGTCTCAGGCTAGCATCTTTTGTGTGGCAGGGCTCCAGAGGCCTCTCTCTCTTCTACCTGAAGACATACGAGGACGGGAAGCTGAATGGCATAAAAATAGAGAGGCTGAAAGAGAAGCTGGGCACAAGGGCGCTGCCAACCGCAGAGCTGTTGCTGGATGGAGCGCGAGCACATCTGGTAGGAACCACGGTGGAAAGTATTTCTGCTCCTCCGTTCACTGAGAGGAGCACAGAGAGTGCAGCCAGGCAGGGAAGGTGGCTGACTTTGAAAGGAGAGACTCAGCAAGTTGGAAGGGATCGTGTAGAGCAGTGTTTTTCTAACTTGGCAACTTTAAAATATGTAGGCTTCAATTCCCAGCTAGCATACTGATTTATACTGGCAGGTCTGACCTCTGGATGAAAAAAGCATTACACATTGAAGCATTCGCAACAGACAGTTGTTAGGGTTCTGTGTGAACACGTTTGGGGAGTGGAAGTGTTACACAGGGGAAGATCCTCACCTCTGGTGTCTGGCACTACTTAGTTGAAATGATTTCTGTTGTTTTTAAAACTTTTAGCAGAAACAAAAAGTCTGAGACTTATGAGCAATGGTTCAGAAAACATCAGACCTCGGAGCCTGGTAAATATAGCTCTTCAGTGCATTCAGTAGCAAATTGTGATAGAACGTGGTTTTAGTATCCTATGTTGCTCCAGAAAATTACTCCTTTCCTTGAATTGTGCATACTCAGCTTTATGGCCCCTCTGATCTGCAGACCTTGTACATTTCTAGAATTAGTTATTTAAATTGAAAGGTTGGTTTGTAGGTCCAGTCTTTTGAATAAAGCTCTCTTTCTTGCTTTGCTTCAAACTACTTGCTGTTGTCTTTCTCAGATCCTGAAAATGGTATTTAAGAATTTTTGTTTTGTAAATGTACCACTGTTGCCCATTTAATTGTATTTACGTTTTTAAGGGGGACCAAATGCAGTAGTTTGAAGCTGTTTCTTGATGCTTTCAGATCTCTGCAGAAGGCAAGGGGATACCTTGCATTGCCGACATGTTGAACATCACTAGGATCTATAATGTTGTGTCTGCAGCGGGAAGTATGAGAAGGTGATTTTCAACCCTGAGAAGTAGAAGCAACTAGGAAAAACTATATCTGGGCAAATTAGAAGCAATTCATTTCTTCTGTTATCTCAAGGATAATTAGGCAAACTTAAATTGGTGTGAACAGTTGGAAAATGTGGTTTGCCATCTCCTAAATTTCAAATTGCTAGAGATGTGGTGACGTCACTTGAAAATGTTGGCCAACTTACTGAAGACCGTAAAGGAATACTTGGGTGTATTAAGCATTTCAACATCTTCACACACCTATCTGCAGACTTTAAGCAAGAAAAATACCCATTTTGTTGTCCAATACTGGCAGCATATTCCTGAGTGTTCCTATAGTCTGTATAAAGAGAAATGGAAATATTTTTATTATGGATTGATAAAGAAACAGTCAAAGGTTCTTAACATTTTTATTATATTAATGTTATATCCCTCCAGTGTATTACATTAGGTACTGATTCCCTTGTTGTTATGACTTAATGAAAGAATGAAATTAAATTCTGGGAAATAGCAGAAATACATTTTAAGTAGTAGAAAAGGCAACAGTTAATCCCCGTGATGGGCTTGATTTCCATCCATAGAATGATCGACCTGGCACGGGATTATGCCACCAAAAGGGAAGCCTTTGACAAACCCCTGAAGGATCACCCTTTGCATATGCAAACTCTGGCACGGATGGAGGTGAGCACACACCCTCTCGGGTCCCAATGTACTCGGGAAAGATTCCAGCATTTTTTTCCTATTTTTGTTTGAAACCAAACGCCAGCGTAGGTAAAGTAACATACAATTAGAGAATGTGAAGAACAGAATGAATGATTCAGAAAGCTTAATATGCTAGGGAAGGAGAGGCAGTTTGCTGTAGTGGTGAGGGCACAAGTCTAAAAACTGGAAGATTGTGAGTTCCAGTCCTACCTTAAGTCCAAAGCCAGCGGGGTGACCTTGAGCCGGTCACATTCTCTTAGCCCTAGGAAGAAGCAGCAGCCAAGGGCAAATCACTTCCAAAAACATTCCCAAGAAAACTGCAGGGATTTCTCCACTGCAGGGAACTTGCCACACACAGGGAAACTACCATTTGCACTCGTAAACCATGGTTTGTAGTTTGCCATGATTATTGCTCCAGGTAATTGTGCAGGGAGGGAGGGAGGAGGAGGTGGTGGTTGCCAGCCTGAAGGTGTCTTGCTCAGAGCAACTGCCATCCCACCTGTGCAGGTGCAAGCCCAAGGAGCGTTCCTGCTGGTGATGGAGCTCGCGAGACTGCTTGGCCTGGAAGAAACGAAGATGGCGACGGAGCAGGAGAAGCACATGCTGAGGCTGCTCACTCCTCTCGCTAAGCTTTACACTGCAAAGC